CAGCGGCGCCGGGACCCCCCTCCGGCGGGGCTCCCGGGTCCCCGAGGGCGAGAGAGACCCCGAATCCCGGTGCGGGCCGGGACCAGGGCGCGGCCGCACCCCCCACCCACCCCAGCGCGGGGGCCGGGCCGCGGGAACGCCCTCCCGGAATGAAGCGCTTCCCGGTGCCTTCAAGGTAGCTCGGTTCCGGATCGGGGGCGGGGGGGCCCCAGTCCTCCCTCTCAGGTCCCCGCTATGCAGAATTTAAGAGATGCCCTGGGTCGGGAGGGGGATAGCCTCAGCGCCCCCACATCCCCACACGTTCCAGCTGGTGGGAATCTCTCCATTCCCCCAGTCCGAGCGAGAAGCCGCCCTCGGAGCCCCCGGTTTCCTCCGAACCTAGAGTTCCGCACCCCACCCAGGGCTCTAATTTAGAGCCCTCAGTCCACTCCCAGTATCCCATACCCAACTTGGGGAACCCGTTCAGTGCCTCGCGTCCTGATGGGGAGCTTCCATCAGCACCCCAGTAGAAGCCGTATGTTTCCCCAATTCCTCTTCAGCCCTTGCAGTCCAGAGTGAGAATTCCCCTTAACTCTCCCAAGTCCCTTCCATCCCACTCTTGGACCCCTAGGGTCTGCTGAAAAGATTCCCCGCCCCAAGCCCGGGTGCCCAGTTTGCCGCCACCCCCATCCCCAGTGTGAGAAGTAACCCCTGCTTTTCTCACTCCCTGGCTCACTCTTGTCAGCCTCATTCAGACTCCTGTCCGGATTCGGGAAACCCGGTTCCAGGTGCTCACCGGCTCCTCCCCACCTAGGCTGGGGGAGAAGTTAGTGCCTGTTAGAGCCTCGTGTTTCCAGTTTAGGAGCCCCGGTGACTCACCTGTGCACCTTCCCCTCCGACTGACCCCCTTCTTTTGCAAAGTTCTAAGCTGCACCCCATCTAACTGGAAGAACCTAAGTTGCCTACCAACAGCGTTCGGAGTTACTTTCCTCAGTCGTTTCATTTTGAGACTATTCTCCGTGAAGGCAAACACCTTCCTCCCCACCCCATCTTCTGGGTCTCTAGGATCCCCCAGTACTTTCACTCTAGGCTCTTGGGACCCACCTCACCCACCCTCAAAACTCCCTCCTTCCAGCCTGGGAACAACCCTGAGAAAGTCCATTCTGGATGGCCTTGGGAGCCAGGGGCCACTCTCTTTATCTCGACCTCTCCATATCTAAGCCAAAGGACCCCTCACTTCCCTGGCTGAAACCAGCCAAGAAAGGGTCAAAGCAGGAAGCTAAGGTAGCCAACCCCCCCCCCCCGCCCCATCCCTATCCCTGCTTGGGTCTCAGAGCGACACGGGCCCCTCCCTTCCAGCTCACCTCCCACTCCTTCGCCCCTTTCTACCTTAAGTCCATCCAGTATAACTGTTGGTGACAAGCCCGTTGCTGCTCACCTTCATCTCCATCCTCTACTTAATCACCTTTTATTAATGTGTGGAGCAGCTCTGGGCATCACACCCCTGAGCCCTCGAAGGTTACCCATCCCCCTCCTCTTAGCACACCTTCCCTCCCCCCACCCCAACCACCACACATAAAAACGTGAGAGACTCACTTTAATGGTTTCCTTGAGGACCTTGGGGGAATGCTCAGCAGGTATATCCTGCCACCCTATGAGCATAACACCAGAAACAAACTTGCTTTTTCCTGTTTTCATCCTCCTACTCTGCCCCACAGTTTCTCAGCATCCCCTGGACTGGGGGTGGTGGGCATCCAACAGGGGGCATTTCTTTTCTTTTTTTTTTTTTAAAGATGACTGGTAAGGGGATCTCAACCCTTGGCTTGGTGTTGTCAGCACCACGCTCAGCCAGTGAACAAACCGGCCATCCCTATATGGGATCGGAACCCGTGGCCTTGGTGTTATCAGCACCGCACTCTACCGAGTGAGCCACGGGCCAGCCCCAACAACAGGGGGCATTCCTAATCCATCTCACCACAAACTGGAACATCGGGTGTGTCCTGGGAGAAACATACATGAAGGTCAGCAGGTAGCACCTCCAGTGTTAGAAAACTGAGTCTCTAGGTCTGAACTTCAGGTTCCTTGAGCATAAAATGGGATCAATGGATAGGTGCAGGGAGTAGGGAGCTCTGAGTATCCATGAGCATTGATTTGTGTGCTTGTGCAATCGGCCAAGTGGCTTGGAAGATAGGAAATGTATAAGGGTCATTTGTTCAGAGCCAGCCAAAACTGAGTCAGGAGCAGCTTGAGATAGGATCCACTTATTCGCATCCTCATTCAGGACCTCAGAGGAGGAAGCATCTATTTCTTTTTGTTGGTACCTAGTTTGTAGCACGGTGACATGTGGGGTAGGCTTGGAGAAGTCTCTTCCCACGGCAGGTTCATCTCAGCCTTACAGCTTCAGTCCACTTTGTTCACAGTAGGGGCAACAAGTCCTTCTAGGAGTAGCCCTCAGAGGACAATGCAGCTGTAAATGCATGATCCTCATAGTAAATTGAGGATCTCAGCGTTATTAAGAAAAAGTGATCTTTAAAGCAACTGGCCCAGACTCCAGAATTAGGAGATTAGAGGATGCCATTCCACCTTTTCTCTCTAGTAGTATACACACAGAGAACATCACTCAGAGAATAACAGAATAATTTGTCTTATGTGGTTTTTTTAAGTCCTCTTGAGAAAGACAGTGGGCAAATGACATTATGCCAAAGCACGAAGATGCAACTTGTGCATTTATTGAACACCTACATGTCAGACACTGTCCTAGGTGCTGTATTCCCAGCACCTTTGTGAAGCTTGCTTTCTAGAGACAGGAGTCAGATAGGTGAATGAATGAATGAATGAACAGTATGTTGAGGCAGACCTTGTAAGTGCTATGGGATAGGATGGGGGATAGGGAGGGTGGGCAGTATAAGGAAGAAGGTGGTGTGCAATTTTATTTTATTTGGAGCTGGCTGGCACAGGGATCAAACCTTGGACCTTGGTGTTCTCAGCACCATGCTGTAACCAACTGAGCCAACTGGCCAGCCCCTGATAGGCAATTTTATTTATTTATTTGTTGGCTGGCCAGTAAAGGGACCTGAACCTTTGACCTTGGTTTTATCAGCACCACACTCTCCCACGTGAGCTAACCCGCCAGCCCTGATACGCAATTTTAAATCAGGAAAGTTCTCATAAGGAGGGTGATATTTTAGCAAAGACTTGGAGATGAATCTGCCATATTATCCAGAACTCTCATTTAAGCGGAATGTCTGCATCTCTTGCGTGCAATGATAACTGATATTCAAATTTTGACTTTCACTACTCTAAAACTGTAGTTATTAAACTTTAGTGTGCAGGGCCGGCCCGGTGGCGCACTGCTATAGTGCGCCACTTGGGAAGCGCGGCGGCACTCCC